GGGGGTGGGGGGGATGATGACATTGTGTGACTACGAGACTGTTGTAGGAAGACCGTTCTCTTTGGGGCATATCACAGATTTCAAGTTTAAAGCAAAGCATCAGAGTGCTAGCAGCACTAGTACCTAAGAGTTGGTCCCTGCACTGTGTTGGTAGTACAAACCATCAGATCCTGTGACATTAATTCGGTCTTTTGGAAGAATCGTATGCCGCAGGAATGGAGCTGCACTGCAGAAACCATCCTGCCCCTACAGCTACCTCCCTCTTCATTGTGTGTGTGAGGTCTCAATTTCTTTAGCAAAGGTGGAGGATCCTCGTGTTTCATCTCAGCTGGCAAATGCTGGCATGGTCAGGGCATCCAGGAGGTTGTGATGACTCCCCTTGACCAGCCCTTGACTGTGCATGTGCCTTCCATGGCCTCTTGTCTTTTGTATAGTGTGAGAGCAGCCAGGGCTGTGGTCAGCTGAGTCCCATTCCTGTAATGGAGAAATTGCTGCAATCTGACAGGCTCTGTGTCCGTCTGTCTCCACTGATAAGATCTCTGGAGAGCCTGGAATGAACCAGAAGTAAATCACACTGTGCAAGGCTACTTGTTCTACCCAGCTATAAAATCAGAATTTTCCTACTAGGAGGCTGAGCATGGAACTCTTGGATACCTTGCTCATGGGAACAGAGACCTGGTGGCTCTTTGAGACAGCTGAAAGGAGCATGTTCCTGTGAGCGTAGTTAATGGATGTAAATATTAGCTTGCTGCAGAGTTCATGTATCACAGTGAAATGTAGTAGTTTATTTTGGCCTTGGGCCATGTAAATGGCCTTGCTCTAAACAAGAGAAACTCATCCAAAGTCAGTAGTTGTCCCTGCTTGCTTCAGGGCTGAATTCAGTCTGATTTGTGCAAAATGCAGGAGAGAATCACTGGAAAATAAGGATGAGTTAAGACATGCGTTCATTTCTCTAATGGCAAATGGAGAGGGAACCATGAGGGATATTTATTACAGAAATGATCCCACCACTGTTTACGCTCCCTCTCTTCTAGCATCTGAATCCCTAAATTCCCACCAAAAGTGCAGCATGTCGGTTCTGTCTGTCTAATCTGATGGCATAAAGATGTTTTATCTTTCTTCAGCATTTCCAGAGGGTAGGAGTACTTAATTTTGTTTCCTTCCTATGGAGTCTTCTTAAGTGACATTGGGAGCTGCTTGTAGATGGTAATAGAGAAGCCTTTGATTAGCAGCTGGCATTTCAGTTTGGATGAAGGAGGTGGGGGTCAACCCGCCCTCAGCTAGACCCCAGGAAAGAAAACTCACCTTCTCCCTGGCTTCTTGACCGTTTCTGAAGGCCTTATGGCTTCTGAGGAGGTCTGCAGCCCTTTGCATGGACCGTGCAGGGAAGAGCAGGCTTGCTCTGGGTTTGCTTTGTCTCTTAGAGATGAGCCCAGCAGAGGGAAAGCATTGTACAAAGGCTTTTCAGGTTTTCAGCATTGAAAAGGAAGGATTCAATATCCGCTGCTGGATTTTGAGTCGTACAGTTCACATGTCCCGTTCTTGTTAATCTCTGCAATCTCAGGTGCTCTCTGCTTATGCTCAAAGCCCTTCTGCGTAACGCATATGTTATAGACAAGTTTATAAGGGACATGTTTAAGCAAGCTCTGTGGCTTCTCTCTCCACCCTTGTAGCACACCCCGATGGAGCAGATTTCCCTGTCATCTCATGAGTGTGCTCCTGACAGTATCACCATGCTCATTACCGCATCTGCCCGGCAGAACTCAGATGCTTTGATGAAGTTCAGCCTTTTAACCATCTCTTCTCCCTTTGTGATCCGACAGCACCCAGGAATATCAAATGCAACCTTCACCCCATTAATGAGAGCATCTAGTAAATGTCAGCTTTCGTGACTACCAGCTTATAAGTTGTCTCCTGGAAAACCTAGAAACACAGGGAAATTAATTCTAGTGTGTGAGCAGCTCTGAGAGCTGAATGCCAGATACTGGAGCAGGCAGCAAGTGAAGCTCTGGCAGTGTACATTTATCTCAAATTACAGGAAATTGCACTCTGTAGTGGGAACGGAGAAGTCTGGGATTGTTTTCTGCCTATCTGTGCAGCTTTGAAAGAATAAACCTCTGTTCAGATCATTTCCGAAAAGCGTACAAACCTGGCACTTGTTTACTCCTGCAAGATGGCAGTTCCAAGGAGGGTTTGACTGGAAAGAGCTGGTGGAGCCTTGTCCTGCCTTGACCTGCCTGCAGGAACAGGGTGAAGCGGTCGGGACTCTGGCAGCCGGCCTCTTCGCAGGTCACCAGCAGAGCTTGCAAATTCACATTGCACTGGCATGGTTGGCATGCCGAACTGTCAGACGCATGTTCAGTGCAAATGTGCTTCAGCTGCAGCTCGCTATTGCAAGTGCTTTCTGCACTCATTCTTAGAAACGAGCGTGTGTGCTGGCAGAATGAGGTCTCGGCAAAGGACCTTAGTGTTTTGGGAGCCAAAGCTTGGGATTTCTAGCCTGCAAGCATCTACCTTACTCCTTGTGCTCATGGACATAGACTATTCCAGTAACTTAAGCCAATGAGCTCCGATGTCCTCTTCTGAGCCATCGCCTCCCAGGCTTGGAAAGCTTGTGCAGCTGCCTGCAGGCAGGACAACACTGCCATACAGATGTTTTTCTTAAGGAATCTTACTGAAATAAATAATAATAATAATAAAAGAACATACCAGAATTAAAGGATCATTGGGTGGGCAGAGGAATAAACATAGAATCATAGAATCATTTAGGTTGGAAAAGACCTTTAAGATCATCAAGTCCAACCATTAATCTAACACTGCCAAGTCCACCACTAAACTGTGTCCCTAAGCACCACATCTACACGTCTTCTGCATACCATGTACACTCAGAGTTTAAAAAATTGTCTGCAGTGATGAAGTAGTGTAAAATAACCAGAACCTCTGTGTCTGCTTTGTCTCAGCAGGATGAAGACAGTCGGTGCGCTGGTGGTTATGCTCTGGCTGTGCATGGTCACCCTTGGCAGCGGCTCAGGTAAGGACATGGCACACGATGGGTCTGCCCACTTATCACGGGGAAGAGCTGATCTGAGGCCAGAGAAAGAAAACTGGCTGCAGGGATTTTTAAGCATTTACAGTATTCCTGGGTGAAACGGTCACATGTAAAATACTTGAGCAAAATGCATGAAAATGATGTTCTGTGTGGGTATTGTATAATGCTCACGTGTAGAGGCTACGAGCATGGTGTAAATGGGTGCATTCGCAAATAGCAATAAGCACTACCGTGACCTAAAAGTCCTTTGCAAATTCAAGCTGCTCACTTGGTCAGTACTGTTACTCCCCTTCTGCGAGGCGTGAAACCAGGGCTTGGCACATGGTGCTGGCTTGTCACTGAGCTGCAAGCAGGACCCGGGCTTGAACCTGAACTCTGTTATTCCTGATTGGATCCGGTGGGGGTTGAGATTCCGGCTCTTGGATTCTGACTCATGCCTCAGCAACGCAAGGGGAGAGGGGAACTTCTCAAGCAAGAGTAGCTCTCATGCCGGTCTCACTGAGTCACTTTCCTGACAGGAAATTTGTTGTCATGCTCGCGGCTCCTCTGGCACACGTTCAGCGCAGCTCTTGTGAAGAGGCAGATTGTGTGCATCTCCGCTACGGACTTCCTATTTGGGGGTGGAAGGAGACAGCATGATTTGCAGGAGGCGAGTGGAAAGGGGGAAGGAGGAAAGAACAGGCGCTGGCTTTATAGGGGGAAATGTTCAGAAATAAGGGCTGTGCAGGGTATCGAGCAAGTCTCCCCATGAGCCCTTGCCCCTCTGCAGCAGTGGCAAACAAGCAGTTCTAATACCCTGAGCAGATGAACAGCTCTAGTATTGTTGTCTCTTGGACCATGCTGAATTATTGGGGCCAGATTCACAACACACACCTCAGCAAGGTTCATTTCGGTGCTGGGCTCATCACAGAGGCTGAAGGCTGGGAGGTTTTTCTCCTTCTTTTCGCTGCCCAAGGGCGGCAGGCATTCACAGTAGGGTGTAGCCTTCAGTAGGGGATGTCCCATCCTGGCTAATGGGGGCCTGGTGGAAGTGGTGAGTAATGGGGAAACAGCAAAGGAGAAAGAATATATGGCCCAGGTCTCTTCCACTAAGCCCTAGGTAGTCAGAGTGCCTGGGGATTGCTGGGGAAATCCCTGCTTTATGTGTGCTTCTGGACGTGCTGTTCTGCTCTCCACCAACGCAATATCCTCCTCCTGCTGAGGCAGCGTTACGACACCCCATGTGCAGTCATCTCGGGCTCTTTCAGAAATGAGAGGTAGGTGCAATTGAATCAGGACTGCTCAGGAAATGTTAGAGCAACTCTAAAAGCTGAGACTGTCAGCTGGGAGCTGTGAAATGAGCACCCTGGTGTTTGGGTCACGCAGGCTTGTGCCAATTGGTCTGGCAGAACCCTCCATGCATTTCTGCAAGGTGTTTAGTGCTTTTTAAATGTTCTCCCTTTAGCAGAGGTTTTCTGTACAGGAGGGTTAGAGCCCTTGTAGAGTGCTGCAAAAGCATAAGTGTCAAAAGGTGATGCATGGGACACATGATCAGTTAAAATACATTTCTTCTGCAAATCCACTGTAGTGTAAGCATTTAATTTCCTGCAGGTCTGTGGGTGACAGACCCACTCTTCAGTTCAGAGCTCCCTTTTTGTTCCATGGACATCATAAACCATTCTGGGCTGTCAAAATGTCTTTTGTTATTCATGACGGGCTTGTATGGCTGTTTGTACTTGGATGGAGGGGCAGCCGTCTGTGCAACCCTCTGTTACACTGCGGGGTTTCCTGGGACTGGCACCAAAAGGCAACTGGAGCTCGTTTCACCCTTGCAAAGTCGTAAACACAGACCAGTGTGGGAGACCGGACGTGCTCCGATAATGTTACAGCATTTGGATCTGCTTTTTATTCTCGGAGCAGGGAAGCGTAGGTGAGGGGAGCAGAGCGGAGGTTATCTGCAGTGAATGCAGAAGGGCTGTGCACAGTCCGCAGCTGCCCCAGTGGTCTCCTAACACCAAGCGAGGCCATGGAGATGGGTAGCTCTCACTGGGGAACTTAGCTCCTGGGATATTTAAGGTGTATAACTTGGTAGGGGGTTGTCATTTCAGCTGGGTATTTTTTTGTGCTTTGCTGTAATGGCCACATATATGCTGTATTGTCAGGACCGCTGTCTCCAGCCCAGGCTGGCCAGGAGCTGGGGAAGGCGGGCGGCAGGGGCAGGAGTCCTGCCGTGGTTTGCTGCCGCTTTTCCTGCCTGCTGCTGCAGCCCTTCCCCGGGGAGCAGCGTGGTCAGCGGCACTGACCAGACTGCCCCAAGCCAGGGGTGCTGGCTCTGCTGAGTCCCCAGCTCTCTGAGCTTACAGAGGGGATGAAGAGCAAACACTAAATTGCAGCTGTAAAACACCAGCACTCCTCTGGCTATAATGCAGATGGCCTTTCCATCCAGTTCAGCCAGTATGGCTGACAGTCTCTCTGGCAGTGTCAGAAAGCTTCAGCGTTGTACTGCACCCTATTTCTTACTGGAGAGGCAAATCTGCAAACTTTTTTTTTTTTCCTAATTTTGCTGACAGCACTGTGGCTCTAAACATGCGTTCCTCGGGCTTTGCTGTTTTTGCTGTGTATGGAGGCTGATGCTGAAACAAAATCAGTTGCTGAAGGAGAGCTGCAAGCTGGAAGAGGAAAGAAATGTGATCCGAGTAGTGTAAAGACTTGGAGTCTGAGACTGAATTTGTGCCTGAGTCTGCTACTCACTCATGCCATATGTGTGGGCAAATCTCTTCTGGCCTTGAGAATATACATGATCTGCAGTGCCTGGGTTTGAACTCCTTACTTGTGATCTTTGGGAGATTGTTTGCAATGGTACTCAGGGTCTTCTGCTTTCCTTGCCTCAGCTAAGCCATCCTTAAGATGGAAATAAGGCTTAGATCTCTGCACTTGTGTTGTAGGATGCTTAATGAACACAGATGTTCTGATATCCAGAGAAGGATAGCAAAAACCGATGAACCCATTTTTGGTCTTACAATGATTTCTTTGGCACTGCTGAAGTCATATAAATACACACTGGCTTAAGAGATGAAAAACCAGTTGGACAAAGAACATCACAGCCAGTATGAATGCAGAAAAATGTTATCTTCTTGTTTCCGAAGAAAGCTAGCCTATGTTAGACACTGACTTATTTAGAAGGTGTAGCAGTAGTTGTGCTCCTTGTTCCATTTTTCTCTCTCTGCTAACCAGGCTGCTCTCATTCTCGGAGAGCTCCCAGCTTTCGCAGGGCAAGGGCTGGGGAGGGGATCACGGTTAGGAGTATTGTCTTGGGGAATTAGAAAAGCAGAAGAATATTGCTGCCAGGAGAGGAAGAGCAGCCTTGTGCTGATTATCTAAGCAACCCGCCTAGAGTGAACAGGTGACTACTGTGCACAAATAGCCCTTTGGTGGGAGGAAACAGCGTGTTCACATAGGAAACTCCTCTGACAGCTCCCGTGGGGGCTATCAGATGGGCTGCGTGGTAGGATGAGCCCAGGACTGGGGCCAGCTTCTGCCCAGAGTGACACCCCTGCGTGGCAGGCAGGGGTGGTAAGGCAGCCAGGAACCTCTGTTCTGGGAGTTTTATTTCAGGCTTTGCTGTTATTTCCTGGGTTCTGAGCGTGTCTCTTACGCTCCCCCACGCCAGAGGCTATCAGGCGCTGGTTTTGTCCCCTCTGAAGTTGGCTCCAAAGTGCCAGGCGTCACGAGTGCTTCTGGATTCAGGTGGTGGCTGGAGCAGTGAAGGTCTGGCTGCAGTGAGCCAGAAACCGAGGTCCGGCTCCGGAGGTCAGAGCTGCCGCTGCACCATCTCTCTCAAGTGCCCATTTGCGCTGTCTGTCTCTCGCGCTTAGCAGAGAGGCAGAGCAGTTACTTATGGCCAGGGGAAATCTGCAGATTAATAAATTACTGTCTGTAAAACACTTTGAAGATGGAAAGCCCTGCGCAGCTCCTCAGGATTATTACTATGTAGCTCTTATTCTACTGATGGGGTTCCAGTGGCCTTATTTTCCTTATGATTTGTGACAGCCCCAGAAGCTGAGAAGCTTATTTGAGTGTGTAAAGTCAAAAGAAAAATAGATTAAACTGCATTATTGTTTTCTAAAGATACTAAATCCCTCCCCCATCGTCTTCTCCTGGGATTTCCTGACTTCCTCCTACTCTTCCAATCTCAGCTGCTCGCTGTCCTAATTTAGGACATGATTTTATAACCATCCATACCCCTTGTTACGGTGGTTGTAGAAGTCTATGGTGCTTGGGGGCATGAAGTTACTCAACACTGAGGGTGTTGAAAGGTGCATGGCCCTGAAGTGGATGGAGATAAAACCTGCAGAGCAGAGCTGGCTTGGGTGCAGATGCATAACTGCAGCCACCAGCCTCCCTCCGCACCAGCCAGAGTCGTGCCTGCTGAGGAGATAAGACCTCGCTTCTGCTTCTTGTCAGCTGAGGAAATAGGTTGTGAGGGGTGAGTTCCGTGCAGGCGTCAACGTGATGTGACCCGTCTGCACAGAAGTGCGGAAAGGTATGGAAGAAAGCAGCCCCCTTTGGGTGTGTCGCTGATGTGATATTGAACGGTTGCTTTTGCTCCTCTGTGTGTATGAAATAAGGCGTCAGGGGACATCGGGGACCTGTCTCCTACCCTCCTTATCCATCACGTCTCCCTGCTGCAGCTGCACAGTTGTGCACTGTCTCACACATTTTATTGCATACAAGCAACTTCTGCCAGGCTTGTAGACTCTTATGGTGCATTTTACTGCCTGCTGCATTTTTTTCAGTTCCCATCCTCATCTGAGAACAACTGCTGCAGCAGCTTTTTGTTAACGCAGATATTCTTGTGGATGTTTGTGGTGGGCAGTGCAGAATTGTTGACTGTATTTTAAAGCAGGCAGCAGAGACCCTGTCTAAGTGCAATAACTAGGCTGCATAGGTTTAACTAAGCAAGCCTGTGGCAGAGGCAGGAGTTGAGCCAGTCTGATGTCCCA